GGAATGGGGGTACACAGCGCTAGAGCACACCTAGACTCACCAGAAGAGTTGAAGTTGGCGTTCGCCCAGAGGATGTGGATGAGGACAGACTGTTCTGCTGGGTAGGTAACGTACTGCAGAAGGAGGAATAAAAGGTTGTCAAGCCAAGGTGCGAGAGTCACCATTGGTAGCACCAGGCCAGATCCCATTCCCCATCTGCTCGGATGGGATGAGTCATCTCAGTCTTCCCCACTGCACGAGACAGACTTTGATGTCTACTATAGATCCCTGCTTCTAGTTCTGCTTCTCTAGAAATCCATCCACCACGCTTGCTCACCTGCTGTGTTGGGCGGTGGTTGTACTGGGGAGTTCCTCACTGTGGCTCAGGCTGCTCAGAGCTGTTGAGTGTTGGCTGGCTGTCGTCAGCAAGGACGATGCAGATACCCCATCGTTGAGAGGTGTGATACTGGGAGCAGAGGGGGAATCGGATTTCACTGCGGGGCCTGTAGCACCTGCGAACAAAAGCTTTGGGTTAGGGGCAGCTACTAGCAGCTCCTGGAGGGCAATTCAGTGGTGAGGATCACCAAAGGCTCAGCAAGAGGAGCTGGGAGATATGGGGTTTCCCTCACTGCCGCCAACCAGTTACACACTTCTGACAGCGTGATTGTGTTCTATGTCTCATTTCACCCCAACATCACCATTGGCTCTGCAAAGAGCTTCAAGACCTACAGATGAGGTGCCTTTCACAAACAAATCAGTAAATTATTGTCATCAGGAGTGACTCATCAAGGATCTCATGAATCCATCAACAGAAAGCTGAACATTTCAAGGCAAGCAAATAATCTGAGTGGCAGCAATTAGCCCAGCAGGGAAAGGACTTGCTATTAGCACAGATAAAGCTTTTCATCCAAAGAAAAGAATACGAGCAGTATAAGAGACTCAGGACGCCCACTGCACAGACTCTTACCTTCAACGGCCTGTGTGGTTTGTAATGGCGTGGGTTGTACAGAACTGAAACCATTCTGAGGAAGAAGAGAAAAAGGATTACTGGGCATTGCAGCTGCTCATTTCCAGAGGCAGATCTAGTGTCAGCCCCCTCCCACGCTCCCTCCTCAGTTGTGAAAAAGGCGTGCTACCAACACATGTCATCAGACTGCGTCAGGGTCGGTCCCAAGCTCAACTAGCCCAGTGCCAGCATGACCCCCAAATGCATATTTGAGAAAGCACTGCAGGAAGTTTCTCTGCTGCTGGTAGTTAGACTGGCTCAACATCCTTAACCCAAGTTCGTTAGCCAAAATTGATGTTACTGAACTCGTGTGCAGCATGCAAGAATCGAATCCTTAAGACAAAACTAAATCCTTAGCCTGAATGCCACTCTGCAGCCGGGTAATTATGCATGACACAACACATGGCCTGCAATCAACTTAACCACTGTTAACCCCCTGGCCCAGCCCCAGGTAAGTAACATAACTAAGGGCTCTGGCAGCAGAAGAAAGCTCTCACGAGAGTCCACAAGCCACATGGTGAGGCTGGAGGATCACAGAAAGACTTGATAAACCACTTAGCTTCCCCCGAGACAGTGCTTCACACGTTATGCTTACTCAGCACAAAGGGTGAGCAAAGCTATTTTCCTACCTTGGCCTGGGTCAGATCTTTCTGGGGCGAGGAGGAGATTGAATTTGGGTATCGCCTCGTCTGGGTGGATCTCTGTTCGTACAGTGGTCCCTGAGCGCTGTTCTGGGAGGTAAACGTTGCTGTCTGTATTGTGCCGCTCTGGTAACCAGACTCCTGACTTTGATTGGACGAAATTGTGGATGAAGATTCACTACAAAGGGGAAAAAAAAAAAAAACAAAAAAGAAAAAAGAAAAGGAGTTTACATTTTCCACCGAAACAGCCCTGCTGTAAAGCTGCTGACCCGGACTGTAGGCTCTTCATTTCAAATCTTCAAAATAAAGAGCCCTAAGCATCAGCATAAAGGCACCACAGAAAGCAGCCAAGCAAACCAAGCAGAGAAACATACCCAGGCAAGGGCTAGCCCGACCACAGGAGGATGCTGGCACCTAGCTGCAGCCTTGCCTCACACACTACTGTGCTCTAGGTGACACTTCATGAGCTGCCACCACTCAGGTCCCAGCACTCAAGGGACGGGCCAGATACTAAGGGTCAGCCTAACAGAAGACAGAAACACTTCGCTTTGGCAAAGCATCATCACCGTAGATACACCTCCTCCACTGTGTCCTGGTTTGCCCGGCAAAAAGCAGGACAAAGCACACAAAATCTGTTCACCAGGGACAAGGAGCAGTTGCACTGGGGATTCCCCTCCTATGTTTCCAGCAACACGGTTTAACGGCAGCAGGAAACGTCTGCTTTCTGTATAAGTACCACAGGCCAATCAGTCACAGAGCTGCCTGAATGAGTCTGCTGGCAACTTATGCTTTGCTGTTGCATACGTTGTCCCCCCTTTGTGACCACGGCACAGTCAGAAAGGGTCTACTAGTATGCAGCTTAACTAAAATCCACGAGACCAGCTACCTTCCAAAGCTACCTGCTTGGATTAATCGTTCCCTTCCTCATGCTTGGTCCTCACCTAGCCGTGCTGGTGTACAGGCTGCTTTGAGATTGGCTAACAGCGGCACTTGTTGTGGGCGTTGATTCGTACTCCGCGAGAACAGGCTCCGAACCAAACTGTAACGCCCCAAACTGCAGGTTTAGCCCTGAGATATCTGCTGAGCCAGGCATTTCCACCGCAAGCGCAGGAATCTGCAAGGGAGGAACAACAGAAAGGGTCAATCTCCCTGGGATCAGCACAGAAAACGACTTTAGTATCCACATTTCCCAGCACATGACGGTAGTTACAGGCTTGCATCCTCTGAATTACACTGTTCCACCCAGGCAGGCAAGCTTTTCCCTGTCACCTCCCCAAACACCCAATGCTAACAGCAGGAAGGCCAAGCCCAGCCCTTCCCTCACCAGCCCAAATGGTTTTTTCTGCAGCTCTAACACAATACAACGCCTCCTTCCCCACCATCGATCCGCACCTTTGATGTTAACGATGCTTTCTTCTTTTGCTGCTTCAGCTTCTGCTGTGCTGGCTGGGGACTGGAGGACTGGTTGTCCGAGGACCCTGGGGACATCTGGGGAACAGGATTGGTTTTGCTGGGCAGCGGCGAGGAAGGGGGTGCCGGCACGGTTGTGGAGGCAGTCACCACAGGCTGTTTCTCCTGCATGAACACTTCTATCATGGTTGAAGTTGACGTGAAGGCCTGACGTTTGGTGAAGGGACTATGCACAGAAGAGTCTGTTGGGTTCTTGAGATCTACCGGGGGAGACAGAGTTGAGTTAGCAGGACTCATTTCCTTAAAACTAAATCAAGTTCTGACACTTCTCAGCATCAAGAAAAATAAAATCATTTCACATTATGAGTCCTCCTGGACCCTGTTAAAATCAGAGCGCAGAGAACCCCAGCATGTCCACTCCCAGCCCTGCACTCTCACCACCATCAACACTGAGCCTTTTAAGCCCTTCTCCCCTCAGCTCCTTCCACCATCTCTCCAGGACAAAGCGAGCTTGCACAACAGAAGTCCTCCATCCTCCAAGAAAAGCTGGACTTCAGAGCCCCTGGTGTGGAGGCACTGCATGTCAGAGTCCTGCACGGGCCTGACGCTGCTTCCTTGCCCCTCTCTGCCAACATTGCTGCATTTCATTGCCTGCTTTTTTCCCTGCAAGTGCTGGGTATCCTCCAGGCAACCACTGCTCGGGGCTGCCCACCCTCAGGTCTTTGCACAACTGCACCACCCTCCTCCTTCACCTAAGCCTTACCGCTGCTTATTAAAAAACAACTCCTATTCTCTATGATTCTCCTCTGTGGCTCCTTGTCTGAAAAGATCAGGAGCTGCCAACACTGACTGTTACTAGGACAGGGCTCGATTTTTCTTCAGCTTAGATTTGAACCAGAGCCATTCCCTATAGCAAGAAATAAAATGCACAAGCTGAAAGAAATGGCACTAGTACTTGACCACAGCAGGGCTCAGCATCTCATCTGAAAAGCAGGAGCCTCTCTTAATCACTGTTTATTCCCTCATGCCAGCCCAGAGGTAGAGTTACTTCTTGGCATTTAACAGTCACCAGAAGCCAATTCCTTTAAAAGATAACATTCCTTTAAAGATAACTTTAAAAGATAACATCAGCAGCAAGATGAGACTGACAAGTGTTGGTATTCAAGAACTATTCTTCAGAGGTGCCCACTTTCAGACCCCTTCTCTGTTACACTGCTTTACAGCAGGAAGTAGTTCTGCACACTGTGAGGGTCTCGGGAATGCCAGATCCCTGGCCCTGAAGCTGGCTGGAATGACCAAGAGGCAGATGGATTCAACTGCTCTAAGTATAAAAGGAAGAGGGAGACTCACATGGACTATTACATTTTACTCTCACAAACTTGCACCCATGGTTCCTTTAATTTCTCCAGCACAGTTGGCTTGGTTGCAAACTTGTGATCTGGCCCTCCACTGAATCCCTCACACCGCTGCTTGCAGCGCGTTTCTGCAGTTCCGGGAGAACACGCCCCCCTTTGCGGAGCCACGCTGCTTTTCCTTACCATACTGCACAAGAGACGAGGTCTGCGTAGTGGATCCCATGTCCCAAGAAGAAGCAGAGGTGCTCCCACCAGGCTGGGTGTGCTGAGCAGCCAGCTGAGCCAGAGCCTGGGCTGTCTTGAACTGCTCCAGGAACTGAGAACCTGTGGTACTGCTGCCTTTGGCCTCCCCGACATCTCCAAACCCTTTCCCCAGCATGCTCACCTGCAATTTCAGCAATGAAATAACAAAGTCAGTGTCTCCTTTGGCTTGGAACTTGGCTCAGAGGACAGATACATCTCTTAACATAAGCCTGAACACACTGTACCCTGCTGCTTCTCAGTGGGTGCCTCAGCTTAACACTCTTGAGCTCCAGATGCACACAGACACCGCTGGCCAGAAGAGCTCATACCTCTCTCACAGCCTTTATCGCATGTGAGCGCAGATACACTTACCTGTTGCCAAACCCATGGCATGTTACAGTGTCATGGAGGCTTACAAAGAAAGTTAACAGATAGGATCTTTAAAAACGTACTAAATTATTCACATGCATTCATTTGCACTAAAAAAAGACAACCACCAGGAGAACTTGGCTTTACAGTAAAGGTGGTTTTGAAAATCCTTCCTGAACCATCTCACCATTAAGTACATGATTTTTGTTTCTTTTACTGAAGTTACACAAAGAAGCATCTGCCCAGGTCTGTGCACATCTCTGATTCAGATTCAAAGCCTCCTTCCTTCACCTGTCAGTAGATGCCAGTATTTCATCCCACACCAACTCCCAACCAGTTCCACTTCTCAAACTGTTGAATTTGCAAGCCCTGGACCGCAATGCAGGAAAGAAACACATGTTGCAAGTCTGACAAGGACAACAGGGGAGGAATTATCCCAATTATTTCTAATTAAGCAATGGACTTCATGCTTCTGTATTTAGAGCAGACTGGCAAATCATCCAAGCGGAGGACTCTGCCACCCACAAGAAGCGAGCCGGTGTCAGAACTGTATTTCCCATATTGCCCAAATGCAGACAGGGAACGCCAGGGAAACCAACACCGGCCAAAACCCGCACGCTGGCAGAGACCAGTATTTCCTTACCATGCTGTGGTGAGAGAAGGAGTTACCAGAGGCAGGCTGGGATATAGCACTCTGCTTGGAATTGCTGAACACCAGCGGCTGGGCCAGGGAAGGAGCCTGGGATGACTCCAGGCTCGTTGACTCATTCTCCATAGAAGAGGGCGTCTTTCCTAGCAGAACTGCAAGATCGATTCTGGGTAAAAGAAAGAAGATAACACACTGAGGTTAACACGGGCTCTGTCACACCCCTCACTTCCATTACAGAGGTATTCTACCTCCAGCCTCACAACTTACAGCTTTTACTTTATAAATTGAATGAATCTGCAGAACATTAACTCACAACTGCCAGTAGCAACCTCAAAAGGACAGAGACCAAGCAAGATCCTGCATGGCCTTCTGTTTTAAAGCATGTCTTCCATTAATGTAACACAGCAAAATGCCCCCAAATCTGAAGAACCAGCAGCAGAGCCTAGGAAAACTCTAATCCAGGATTAGGACCTGGAAACTCCTAACTCAACCCTTCCATTTAAATCCATCTCATCTTATTCAGAGCTGCTGCATTTTAGCTACTGGCAAGGTTTAGTCTGAGATGGCAAATTGCTCTGGGACTTGTGTGCCACTGTTCCCATGTAAACAGCATCGCCATGGGCTATCACCTCTGTCCAGCTGTGATTGTCACATTCTCAGCAGGCAGAGGCACTGAAGACACATTGGAGGCGGTGAAGATCTTTGTCTCAGACAGCTGAAAGATAAAAAAGGGAAAAAGAGTCCAAAAGTGAGAACAGCATCTCAGGACTCAAAGTAAAGCACACAAACATTTGAGACAAACAGCCACAGAAAGAGTCAACAAATTCAAGTGTTTAGTCTTAAACTTCTCTAACATTTGTCTCCCATCAGAATCAGCTTCTATTTCATCTGTTTCTTCCCAGGCAAGTGCACAAATCACCTGCCAGTGGAAAAAAAAACCCAAATCCTTCCACAAATTTCCCGTAGTCCACAAATCCACTAAGGCTGCTGGGGTCTTAAGACAAGTGCTCTGAATTGATGGTATGTAGCATTGATCTGCAAAACCCACTACACAGGCAGGTGCAAGCATTGCTAGAGAAGTCAAAGAAAAAAGCTTCAGACCCATAGTTAAGCTTCCAATGATCCTGGCCTCACCTGGATGATCTGACCAAAGATCAACAGATCTACTCCAACTATGGAAGGGAAAATAACATTGCTCAAAAATGAATGAAGGGGAGGTTTAATGACCACCTTTAGTGATTTAGCCTGGAACATATCTGAATATCAACAGCTTTTATTCCAGACTGAGGAGCTGCCAGCAACTAAACTTCAAGAGTTTAAAAACAAAATTAGGAACACCTGGGAGCATATCACACATACTGAAGGCAAGAAGGGCTATCAAAGGCTCTCTTCAAGCAGAGACCTGATTGAACAGACAGAGAAGCTGCTTGCATCTCCAAACACAGCAGGAGTGCTTCCTTCAGACGGTGCTGGAAAGCAAAAGCTTTCCTTTTGTGCCCATTCTGTAGGCTTAGCAAAAATGAGCATGCAAAACTAGTAATAATACTAAAAAAGCCCAACCCTGCTCCCATCGCAAGAACAGAAGTTCTCCCTTGACGCAGAGAGGGACTGAGGCCCATTTCAGAAGAAAGTGATAGAGAGGCATTAAAAGCAGGTGACAATAGTGTCCATTCTCCCCTGAAGGAGATGCCAGGTAGAGAAAGAAAAGCAGTGAGACACGCCAAAGAGCAAGTCAGAAGGTAAAGCCAAGAGCTTCTGTTCAACCCAAATCACAAGGACCAGCAGATTCGTGCGTGACACACGCATAAAACCTCTGCTGCCTCCTCCACAGCACGTGGTGTGGCTCAAAGGCAAACTGCCACTCCACTGGAGGAGCAGAGCAGGAATCTTGTGTGGAGTTAGCCCAGTTTATGGAAGAATTCAATCATGCAGTTGCAGGAAATGAGAGGACCAGACTCGATGCCCCAGGAGATCCGTTCCTGTCTTGGGCTCCTATGCCAAGCTCTACGACACATGTATTTTAGAAGTGGCGACATTTACTACTCATCACAGCTCCTGGAATTGGGAGCCTGGCTTGGGCTATGCCCATAGTTTGGGGAGGATGGGCTTCATGCGCCTCTCATAGCTGTGTGTGTACAAACAGGACAGCAGCCTGCCGGCAGACGCATGGAGGAGAGGGGTTTGGAGAGTACCTACATCTTCATTCCAGTCCTCCGTGCCCCATTCTTCTGTCGCTGCCCTCCACGCACCTACAAGGATAACAACAGGTAGAGAAGTTACGTGTGCATCAAAGCTCTACCTCCAAGAGCCAGGGAAGCACCAGGGAGCTTTGCAAGCAGCTGAGAGGATTTCTATTTGCCAACCAGACAAGTGAAAGCAGTCAACCCCAACCCACGATTCATGGGCAAGGTACCGCAATGGGATCACCTCAGCCTTGCTGGGGCAGGCTAGGCTGAAAGAGAGGGACCGCTGGGCTGGCAGCTAGGGCAACGCACACACCCCGACACCGAACAGGGAAGCTGAGCTTGGCAAGGAAGCCCCGGCAACGTCCCCAGCCTCCTTGTGCCATTTTCCTGATTTCCCCTCGTATTGCAGTAGCTGCAAGTTTCTGCACCCGCGAGCAGTTAGTGTTACCCCAGCAGCTCAGACAGAGCACCTCCTTCGGGGGCTTCCTGCCCGCTCTTGTGCAGGACCTCACCATCCAGTTAAACCTTAAGTTTCTATAAAACCCCGGGACAACTGAACCATTCACATGGCTCATTTTTTTTTTTTCCCCCTCGCCTCCCCCCCGCAAATTGTTGAAACCTCACTGCACCAGGACCTCCTGTGCACAGGCAAATGGGAATCAGAAAGGAAAATTCAAGGGACTAAGCAATTCCTGCATTTTCTGTGACCAATTTCCGAGATACGTTCAAAGTGAGTAGCTTAAAATATCAGGGAGAAAAGCAGGAGATTTCAGCCGCAATCCAGCACAGTGCAATTTGTAAGAGAGCAAAATTTACTGGAAAAAAGTTTTGCCTGACTGCATCTTCAACTTGTTCCGTCCCTCACTTCCATCACAGTTTAACGTCAGTACCTTGAATATTAAGTGGCGACTTCCGAATCCATTAGACAACTTAAAATTTGGTGTGGGAGGAGAGCAGGAGCATTTTACATCCCAAAAAACTCAGAGCATAAAAACAGCCCCATTTTGCGCAGCTTGTTTTCAGCCCATGCAGACCAGATCAACAAAACCTGATACAGCCAACAGGTTAATCCTGGAGACATTTACAAGGACAGAACAAGTTGGCATCAGCCCTTTTATAAGCTGGAAGCCTTTTACAGCATAAAATCTTAGCACCTGGGGAATGAGAATATTGTGGATTCTTCTGCAGGACACAATCAGGCTCGCTGAGATTTTGGGGGGAAGGACACAGCAGATCTTCCCATATACACTTTAATTATGAGGCCAAAACATCCAAACAACAGCTTGTCTAGAAGTGGTGGATTTAGTGCATGAAATAAGCACATTATCAGTGAATTATTCTTTTTTCATTGTTATTTTGTTGGGTGTTTTGTTTTGCCTGACAAGTTGAGCCAATTCAAGAAGCCTTCCTGGAATTTTTTTTTTTTTTATATTCAAGTTAGAAATACAGTTATTAATACAACATGACTTCCTTGAGTGCCAGGAGTCTCAAGGCACACTACTCTACCCCTTCTTCCCCAGCCAGAAGCATCAGGAGGAGTTCAAAACATTCAATGCAAAACACATCTGGGGTTTAAAAACCCAGATTCCACCATTCCTTAGATTTTTTTTTTTTTGTGCCCTCACAGCAGTAGCGGGAAGGCTCCTTTCCAGATTTTCATAGATCAGAAAGATCCTACCAGCTCATCCCTTACCCAAGAGGTGAAGTGGGAGCTGGAGGTACCTGGGTCAGCTGCAGTTGGCAGGGGAGAGCAGGAAGCCAGGAGAGTTGCCCCAAGAAGAGTTTGTGCATGTAGGAACACGGCACAGCGCTCCCTTAGTCTTGCTCGCTTGGGGAAAATGAGAAGAAAAGCAAAGCAGCACGAAAAGCAGAAGGAAATCCTGCAGATGAAGAGCAGCCATAGATGGGGCTTTCCTGGCAAGTCTACTTCTCAAGTACCGGACATCTATTCAGCATGGCTTGCGCTCCATGAGCACAAAGGGACAGATGGAAAACCGAAGACCCGTGATGTACAACCGGGCATTCACCAGAAATGCTCCAGAAAGCTTCCTAACCAGCACAGCGTGTTTAGGTTTTTTTAAAGAAACCAAGCGTATCGCTCTCCATCAAGCTCTCCCGAAAGGGAGAGATGCAATGCAAGCAACGCCCTGACACTTCTAACACCATTTCAGAAGTGTCATCTTCTGAACGGCAATCCCTCCTCTCTGCTTTAAGAAAGTCCTCCAAAGAGCTGCTGGTCTTTAAGCTCCTCAAACCAGCAAAAGGGGAAAAAAATAAAATTAAAAGTCAATAGGCATTTACAAATATGAGTGTGCTGAAGAAAAAAATCCCGTTGTGTCTTCAAGATTTTTTTCCCCCCCCCAAATACACTATCTCTTCATTTTAAACTGGGAGATGAGCAACCAGCTTGCTCCTCCTGCGGCCCATCAGGCGGTCTGCTGCTATCTCAATGACTGGATACACGCTTGATGCCCCAGCCTGGAAGGGTGACAGACCCAAAGCCCCCCACTCTGCACCTCAAAGGAATGTAAATCCAAACAAAGCCAAAGTGTGGCAAAAACACAATGGCAGCACTGGAGCAGATGGCCTTTTGCTGCCTGCAGGAGTTAAAGATTAACCCAGAGGTGAGAACAAGGAGATGCTCCAAAGCAACAGAAGCACTCCAAGTACGTCTGCCTCCGGATCCCTGCAAAAGAGACTCTACAGCCTCAACGCTCCTCCTGGCCTGACCTTCAAGAGCAAAGTGGCAAGTTCCTCCAGAAGGGCCCTTAGCCTCAACTTCCAGACCTCAGGTTAGATGGAGGAGACGTTAGCCAAACATGATTTTGGCCTTGTTACGGACACCGATGGGATTCGGTAGATATAAGGCAAACTGAGTCATCTCATGGGTGTCTTTTGGCTTCATGAGGCATAAGGGTGTAAGAGCAGGAAATAAAGTGGCCAGGCACTGAGCAGCTTTGCCATCAAGCACCCCGGTCATCTCAAAATCCACCGTCATCTTCGACTGCAGGGCAGGTCTGCTCAGGTGAAGAAGAGCAGCTGGGCAGCAAGAGCATGCCAAAGCAGCCATCAAGCGCATCGCTCACCCAGAGGTAGCCGTAAGCAGAGGCAAAGCACTGAGACAGTTTAGCCAGACTAATTCCCCTTGCAGCAGTGTTTTGACCCTAAGCAGAAACATAGTGGGGAGGCCAAAGTGATCGCTGCAGAAGCGAACCGCCGCGCTGAAGAACGGCATGGGGACAATGGCAAGTCACAGCTTTCTGGATGCGAGACAAGCAGAATACGACTAAGCTGCCTCACACTTCCTCCCCTCAGGCGGGATACTCTGTCATCAGTGCTGTGGACACAGAGCTGCTCTGGGTACCAAGAAGCAGTGGCTGAAGTTAAATTTTACATAATCCACACGAATTTGGGTTAACCTCTCCCAATTTATATTCAAGGTGTCAGCATTAGTAAAAGCACAGTCAGAACAAACGTCAAATATTCATTAAAATGAACAAATTAAGAGAGAGAAGAATGACATATCCACAGATATTTCAGTTTTTTTTTAAAAAAGCTATAAAGTAAAGGTATCCGGGGCAGTTAGTGCACCTGGATGTATCGTACCAGGAGCAGTGTCAAATTTTCGGGGATAATTTGACCCCTCACCCCCAATGAAATCAAGTCCTGAAACAAAAAAAAAAAAAAGAAAAGAAAGACAACCAGTGAAATTTTGACTTAAAGAAGTGAAGGTGAGTTTCATTGCCCCCATGTACACCAGTCACATTGTACCTGTGGATACTGTTAATTTAAAGAGATGCCAGTGGCTACCAAAATAGAAACAAAATGACCACACACGACAGAGGTGAACAGCGTAGTTGCACGATAAACTTTACAGCTGTGTTGTAGTACTAGAGTAAATTTGAGTTGTTCCATCAAAAATCTTCAATTCCCCCCAACCACGCTCTAACCCACTTTATTCCACAATTCCACAGAGAAGTCCGTTCAGACTAGACAGTTAAACTTCCAGCATGTAGAGCTCATCTACTCCCATCCCCTTTTCCTGCAGAGACAAGCATACCCATTGCCCTTAACACATGACTACACTACTCCCTCCGGTATTTAAAACTCCATTTCTCAGCCGGCCAGAAGATGATCACTCCATCTGCTAGTGTTTTACAAAACCATGGTTATATTTTTCCCCTTTCAAAACAGCTCTCCGTTTTCTTAAAAAAAAAGAAAAAAAAATACGAAACAAAAAAAAACCCAAAACAAAAAAACAAAAAACACAAACCAAAACAAAAAAACACCAGAACACAAACCAATCAAAAAATCCCTACATTAAAAATGTGTAGTAAAAGGTACCGGAGTTTACTGTACTTTATTTCTCTCTTTCCAAAGCTATCAGTTTTTCAGCGAATACAAGAAAAACGGAAGTGGCCTAAAGCAACATTAATATGGTTGTGAATGCTTCTTATAACCAAGATGTGGTATTTACTTGAATACTCTAAAGTCATGGAAAAATAAGTTTGACTTCATGGTGGTGCAAGATTGCCCCATAAAAAAAACCAACACAACCACTCTTAAACCCACACAAATAGACTACTTACGATTAAGGATTGTCTCTTGCGACTCTGTCCAGTTACCACACTGCAAAATCTGAGTTCACTTGTGTCTTACAATAGTGTGCATACTTGAAACAAAAAAAAAGTACCATTTTTCCAATGCAAGAGAATGTGCAAGGGCAGGTCGGTGTTCACGAACCGCCCACTGAAGAAACGTTTGCTTCAATCAGGCAACCGATGAAGATTTCTTTTCAGCTAGCTTTCTGTAACAAGGTCTCACCCTACAGCACTTTGAGCAAGATGACCGTGAAAGAGAGAATGCTCCCCATACCGAAATCAAGAGCAAGACATCTGAACTCCAAGTAATATTCTCTGGAGGATGCACCAAATATCGGGAGAACTTGCACGTGCTTACCACACTACAGTTTATAAAAAAAGACTTTTCCAAAGAGGCAGCATGGTTTCTACTGGAAAACAAATGGACGCAAGTGTTTCTGTGCCTCTGTCGGGCAACGGCACACACAAGCTCACACGAGCACAATCATCCAGCTCCCCATTTCCAATGCGGTCACCCTAACAGATGCAAAGGCACCTCCGGGTGCCAAGAAACAGGGTCACTGAAATCCATCTCTGAACCAACAATTCGTTCCTCTGTCCGAGTCAAAGACCTACCCAGAACCTCCTCAGTGCAACTGGATGGACACAAAACCCACTTACCCTCTAAATACAAAACAGCGAACACGCGCATGAAGACCACTTACTTGTGCCATCATCCGGCTCAAAGCTGCCAGTGTTGTTCCACGTGTTGTTGTTGCTATTCCCGTAGTTCTCATCCGTGCCAGCCGGCTCAGCATAGTCAGCCGGGTTGAAAGTTCTGTAAGAAATATGAGGATGGAAGTTTTTACTCCCTCTCCCTAAGCATTTTAAAAGCAACTGATTTTATTCAGACCATGACACATCTCAAAGAGTCTCAAAAGACAGTTCTCTCAGCAGAGGGATGCTTCAGCTACATCAGCCATTCCAAATTTAAGTTAGCATGATGCAGTTTTGGCTTTATTAATAAAAACAGGAAAAGCAGAACACAAATGACCAACAAACAATACTATTCATGCACAAAGACTTTTTATTTTTGCTGTGGTTTGTACCAGTGAAACTTACCCCATGCCTTGGGCAGAAAATCTTCCCCCTCGCCTTCCAGAGCCACCTGTAAAATATACACGCACGCACTGCTGAGCATCTCTCTTGGCTCTGCATAACCGGGAAAAGAAACATTTGAACAACATACGGAGTTCTGATGCCCAGAATATGAAAGTGATGAGGATTTTCCCAAGTTGATGGGATTTCCAGCAGCGTCTTTATATGTATGGGAATGACCTCAGCTGGCTGGCAGTATAATTAGCAATGCACGATTCCAGGCTCAGATGAGGTTTCCAGCTGGCACAAACCATAAGTACCGGACCCCAGGTTCTGATTTCTGCAGTGTGTGTCCTCAGCAACAATTCCTGAGCAGCACAGATTTTGTGGAAAAATGAATTTCTGCCGCTGAGTATTTAAAAACCAAGCCAAGCGTTTGCACAGCAATGGTGCTCAGAGACACACATGCAAGAACGAGGAGGATCCAGATTCTGTTGCTAACAAGCAATTGGCCCACCTGCCAAATAGTCACCTTAGTTTTTTTAACTTCCCACCTCTACACAATAAAGCCCTATTTTTTTCCAACTCCGTGGATGGGATGTAAGAACTAGATACTGTTTCTAGCGTGCTTAAGATGGGAAAGCAACGAGTAGGCACTAAGTGTAAGCATAAGAACAGAAAAATCAAATGCTTATTTTCAGTTTGGCAACTCCTCCCATAGAAGAGGCTTTCAAACCTAACGGAGATGAATTACGTTAGCGTATCCATCTCCTCCCACCCCCTCTGACCTCAAACCCCATGTGTACCTCGGCCTCGGCCACGTCCCCGCCTCCCTCTTTCTGTGCCTCTTCCAGAAGATCCTCCACTCTTACCACCGTCTAGTCCATTCTCCTGGCCCCGAACTGAAAGACAGAACAATGCAAAGGCAATTTCAAGATTCATCCTTCTTTAGGGAGGATACTAGACCAGACCTCAAACACTGAAGCGCAGTGGCTGTGCGGGAGACCACGCCGCCAAACACTCCCGTAACTTCTTTTATTTAAGCTGATGGTCTTGAGAGTATCACCCAAGGAATCATCTCAGACAGGGGAGCATCAAACAGATTGCCACACAGATGCGTCTGCCCAAGAAGCTTTACTGACAGCTTTTATGCAGCACAAAGTGCCTCGGTGTGCACCGTGACAGTTATGGGTGTTACGAAAGGGCAGGTCCATACACTCTCTTCCACGGCTGGCACCTCGCCCCCGCCTCGGTGGCCCGCCACGTCGTCTGCTGAAATCCCGATCCCTCTCCCGGTTTTCTTTGCTTTCTTCACTGGGTTCTGTCTGTCCACTCTCCTTCTGTCCTGAGACACCCTTCTTCTTCCCGACCATTTCCCAGGAATGCTGAAGGTTTGCAGAGGGGAAAGAAGTTAATCATAGTTTGATCGATGCAAGATGCAAATACATACATACTTAAACATGCTACAGAGAATATAACAACGGTCTCCACAAAAATGGTTTCCAGCCCAATTTTTTTTAGAAGAGTCTATCAGCCTACACACAGTACAGCTTCTTCCTTCAAGGAAAGCTTTCTTACAGCTGACTGGCATGCAGTCTGAGGTAACAGGAGATGAGTTATTCTATTTCTGCAAAGATCTACTAAACCTCTTAAATAGAGTGGGCATAATACTTACTCAAGTTCAAAGCATAGATAAAATTACCCTGTTAAGGGGGAAAAAAAAAAAACCACCCTGCCACTTCATATAGGTCACTGTTTTGGGGAGCTTTCAGAATAACCCAGGTAAATGTTCCAAAGTGCTCTGCAATCAACATTTCCGGGTAAGTTATTCTCTCAGATGCAGAGTGATTTAACAACGCCCCTCTCCTAAACAACAGCTCACAGGGAGAGGAGTATCACAGAATTTATCCAACAGGCAAGTTCAAGTCATCCCAAGTTCAATTGTAAGAAGTTAAGCATGCCTCCAGCTTACTGCCGTGGGCCCGCATTGGTTTATTTTATGACAGTCTGCAGTGGTTTCATAGTCTTAAACTGATGCTGCACACTGTTAGAACAATTAAAAATAGTCACAAGTCATTGACGAACACCTAAAAACATAACTGGCAGACAAGTAAACAGCTGGTTTTGGATGGCAACATGCAGGGACAGTGACAAAAAAAACCATAGAGGCACAAACTGCCTTCAAACCCAAGGCTTCTGAAGTCTCTCTCCATAGGTATCAGGCTTAGAAAGAAATTTAGGAAAATATTTACTTTGAATACTGTGATTTTAAGCCAAATCTAACCCAATCCTGAGATCATACCAGCTCCTTTACTGTTTGAAATACAGTATGTTATGAGTAACTAGCTCAGCAGGTGAGCGGTCTTCATCAGCATGGGAGTATCTGAGCAATTAGCAAGTCTGTTTCTTATCAGAAAATCCCCTTTACGGGATTGCTGCACAAGCTGAATCCAGGCCAGAAGCAGCTCAAAGACCGTTGACCAATTACAGCGCAGCCACGGCCTGCGCTCAGTGCTGCGGGTACCAGCCCGCAGGCCCCCCATGGCACTGCAGGCTGGAGAAGTGGCAGGCACTCGAGGGCTTTGCTCTGCCAACTCCCTTTCTGCCTCTACAAATATTCCGCAGTAGCCGTGCCTTGCCCTGCATCTCACGCTGCCGGGCATTTCAGCTGCTGGAATAAAGAAGGTATTGCTACATAACGCGGTTTGCTGCACACTATCCTGGATGCTATTTTCGTGAGCAATGTGTTTATCTAGGAAATGCAACTGTTGTGATAGCAGGAGTTTGTCGTTTAACTAGAAGCTGCCAGCTACAAGGGATGTGGAGGAAAATACAGTCACGGCACAGCTTTGCCTCAGTGACGCATGTTCATATCATCCCCCTTTCTAAAAGGATTTTCCAACAGCTATTTTGTTCAGTTATCCATGGAAAGGGCTCTCTAAAGGCAAGGAAGAACCTTACGTGCGCTGTAGTGAACTTGGCTGCTGCCAAAGCTAGCAAAGCACCTGATGTTGGGGAGCAGCTACATTACACAGAATATAGTCTGAGCTGTCCAGCTCATCCATCTACGCTCAGGGCTAATAACGAGAAAAAAAGAGCTAATACATAGTATTCTGAAGTGATATTTAGAGCCTCAACTCTACAAAGAGTTGAGTCCACTTCAGCCAAACCAGGGTGCTGGGAGGATACGTTTGATCAGTGGCAGTTTGGAAGGATCTGATCTTCATAGGCTTTTTACTGGGCTGTAACAGAACTTGCGTCTCTGCTGTCTTTGTCACAAAATGGATGACATCCCGCACGCCAGGCGGAAGGTTCCTCCTAAGCAAGTGCTCGCTTGTTCTCAGAGCTGACTTTGGCTTGCCTGAGACAGGCACCTGCGTGAGTGACAGCAGTCGAGCCTAACTCCACAGAAAACAAACAGCAAAGAGACCCTCAAAAACGTGGCATGGGCAGCGGCACACAAGCCAGTCAGCGCATCACTAAGAAGCAAATGTTTAGGGCCAGAGACACAAAACTGCATCACTCTAACAGAAATGAACCACAGCTGACACATGCCTGCCTTTCAACACAGGTCATTCAGCCCTCATGGGAAAAGGTAAGTTACTTTACACTCACGACAGTGTGAAGGCTTATACAGATGGCACTGTACTGTTGTCAAAGCGCTTGGATTCAAAAGGAATAGGAAGTAAATGATTTATTGCATTTTCCCCTCTATTCCTTTGGGTCTGCTGGCCACGCTCATAGTCTGTGCAAGCTACAGAGAGCAGCGTTAAGAAGCCAGAACACAATCACACTTTACATGCTACTTGTGGAACTAGTCAGTCATTTTGGCTCTCGTTATCTAGACATTACTGTATGTCTTGTCTCCAAATATGCAGTTACACTGAACTAGGCCTCACCAGATTTACAGGACCCAATCCTACCGTGTCCGGATTGCCCTCCAGCAGCACGTTGATGGCTCTGTTGACATCTCCGTTGCAGTCATGCAGAGCAATCACACACTCATCCTGGTTCTTGCCTGTGATGTCGATCAGCTGTAGAGAAGACAACATCACGGTCAGCATGTTCCAAACCAAGAAGGCACCAAAATCTCTACGGACCTCTTAGGAGGCAAGCAAGCTGAATCCCAAACCAGAAATCCTACAAAGAAATGTCAGGGTTTGGGAGTCTTCCCAGCCTCCTCAGCTTAATTATGTTCCCTCAACGAGAAGTAACTGGGGGTGGGAATTTGAGTTACCGTTGTTTCGCCACAACCCAACCTACAACCTCCTTTTCTCAGGATAACACCACTCCCTGCATTCTGGGGCTCAACATAGCAGGCACTAGAGCCCCTGAAAAAGAAGCCAGTCCAAGGAAATTCAGGGACCAGCCACCTGCGTCCCTCCCAACCCCCACAGCATTCACAGTACTCTTGACATTGATCTTGCTTTCCCGTCAGGGTTCACCCTCACTTTCCACACTCACTTGTTTCACCTTCTCCTCGAAGTCAGCATCGTTGTGGTCCGAAATCATCTGTGCAAGTCGAATCTGTTCCGCAGTGGCCTAAAGAAATCAAATGGAGAGAGTGCACGGTTAAGAGTGGCACATTTCTAACAAACCTTCCTCCAAAGGCCATACTGCTTCCCTGAGATCTCTGGAAAGGAATCAAGATGATGAAGAGGAGGCGCAAACAAGGGACAGAAAGAGGAAAGCTTCAGAGAAAGTCAGACGGAAGAGGAGCGAGCGAGGGGAGTCTGGAAGAAAGGGATGTACCGCTGGATGGCCTCGCAGCACCGGGTGAGCGACAATCACCTAAACTACATCCATTTTGAGGCAGACCTTACCACCACCAGAACACCAAGACCCACTGCAGGCGGCTTCTCAGCCACTTGCGTTCATTAAAGTGAACCGGGAATGGTCAGATGGAGGTGAAAACAAATCTCAGCCCCGGCTCCCGCTCGGAGGCACCGATGCGGAAATCCCACCGTCAGCGGCTGCCCAATTAACCTGGCTCTGCGAGCAGCACGCGGGAAGTTCGTTAGGCCAAGCCCAGCCGTTAGCGCTGGGCCAAGCAGGAGTGCCAGGTCTCCACCTCCAAGCTAACTGGTTTCCATGGACGCTGCCCTTACCTGCGGCCGCTGCTTGTGCTGTGTCTGGCTCTGTGTCTGTGTCTGCTCCCAGTTCCCCCGGGCTCGGTTAGTGCCCACCGATGTCATCATTTACAGTATATACAAATAACAGTATTTACAAGGCTCTGTGGTGGGTCAGGGGAGAAGAGAGAACAGACTGTTAGAAACTGAAAACAAAAGGCAGCACCAAGACTGAACGATCGCGTGGGCGAGGCAGCCAGTAAAGCCGTCGTGGGCCCCCACCCTCCCCACTGCTTCCCCAAAAGCCACAGCGGGCCAGCCTACCATTTCCACATGCCCCCAAGACAAAAAGGCCACTTGTACTTCTCGAGGTTTCTCCACTGCTACCACGGCAGAGCGCTCCGAATGAAACACCACCTGCATCCAGGTGGGAGTAATCGGGACCCAGGAGCAGAAGTACTTGGGGTAAAGGGTTTAACGACTCACTGCTAAAATGCAAGTGTGTGAGCGGGCACAGCTTTGCCATGACAGGGGCCATAAGAGGCTATGTCGATCAACTGGAGCAAGGAACACTTGAAAAATGCTCTAAAGAAACTTTACTTTGAGAGCAGAACATCTCAGAGCCTCAGACACATCAGCTACTTCCCCTTCTCCTTTCTTGCCTTTAAAGCAGGGCAGAGGAAGCAAAAACGCTCCAGTAGTAAGTGGTGCTACAGGTTTGTGGGATATCGTTTTAAAAAAATATCACCCTTGTAGAACTGCCTGTTTTTGCTTGCTTCAATTATTCCCCAGAACTGGAAATATGAAGTTTTCTTCTACTGAGTATTCTAGATTTAAAAACTACCAAAAAAGTGAACTAGATGTCAACAAGGAATAACAGCCAGTAACATTGTTAGGTAACTGCTTGAGCCAAAAAATCCCAGTAAGAGTTCAGGGATGGAGCATCCAAAGCAAATGGAGTTTTATAACCTCACACTGGGCTTCAGGGGAAGAGTCCAACCCAGATGGTTAGAACGGGATCAGCACCGAGTAATTTTACCCTGCCTATTGTCTCCCAGACACAGGGGATGCCAGGCACATCCCATGGCACTCGGCAGGACTTGCTACTTCTGAGCCCCTGAAATCTCAATAATTGCAAACTTCACATTTTCAGATTTCGTTAACAAGACTGCGACGCCTTCCTCCAAAGCAGCAGAGTCTGCTCCAGGTGCTGGTGCTGCAGGCAGATGCTCGGGAGAGGGGAAGGAGCCACAGACAGAGCGTAAGAGCAGGGAGGAAACCCGAGTGAGAAAATCCGACCTGCAGTAGATGATCTGAAATATTGCTTATGAACACCAACGTGGCAGCACAGAGCAAGACCTGGCGTGCAAAGTGGGGAAAGCTCAGAAGCAGCGTTAGCAAACAGCCCGGTAAGAACTGGGGAGTCTCTTGTGAAAGTCTGCGAGCGGAGGGCTCGACCAGGCTGAGAGACCTTTCCCTGAGAGCATGGAGACCCTAACGTCACCTCTGCACTGTGGCTCAATGGACACACCACCTCCGCACCGTGGCTCGATGGACACGCCACCACTCCCGCTCCCATCAGCGTCTAGTGTTCGCTTGTAGGCAAGTTTTCAAATGCAATTGCTCCTGCAGCTTCCCACAAAACCTCAGAAGTTCGCCCTTTGGGGCCACCCATGCTTCGCAGCAACTTAAAACCACAGTTTTCCAGCTCTAGAGTGCCAAGGTTTCTTATCAGGAAACAATCCAAGCTACCTGTCCAGTCACCAGGAACCCCCGAGGTGTGTGTGACACCGAGCAGATTTAGGGAAGAGCACCAAGCCTGGGCTTCACCCAAGGCAGAGCAGACCAAAGCCTCCTGGGCTACGCAGCCATCCCTCCCACGCTCCACGCAGGCTCCTTCCCCACGGTATTTATTTTTGCTCTCCGCCACTACATCTCTTCCAGTTCTAAGTGTTTCACGCACAAACAAGTTGTCATATTAAACCAATTTGGCAGCAGAACTGCAGGCCCAGAGGGAAGCAATCCTGCGCGTTTGCAGTAACTTAATCTGCAATTTCAATAGGATACAGTTCCAGCAGTCCGCTGCTCCGAACCTTTGTGCAGTGGCTGGGCATTGTTCAACAGCTGCCACGCTCCACTCTGCCCAGCTGCATTTCTGCCACAATTAAATCATGATTATTTTTTCTTTAACATGCAAAAAAAACCACAAGAAAAAGATCTATTATAGAGATATTAGCCAGGCCTTGACCCTGCTAAGACCGTCGGGTAAGCGGGCGTCCCCCACAACACCCCACGCGCTGCACTGAGGGAAGCTGACCTGGCTGCTAATTTATTCCTCAATCACGTAACTTCAGTACAGCTCACGGGCAACATTTAACTGCAAATCTTGGTTATCCTGACACTCGAACTGGCCCTGCACGGAAGTAACACCAATATGAGTTTACCAGTTCAAAGCAGTTTTCATCAAAAGTGTTTTTACCCTTTTTTTTTCCCCCCAAAGAACAAACCCATATATATTAACCAAGAAGGATGTAATAAAAAAGGGCGACTCCAGCCAAAGTGAATCGTGGCTGATCCACAGCAGAGAAACAGCATCAAACTATGTGAACGCTTACGTTTCAAGACAACGGGAAAGCGATGCATTCGTACAGGATTTAGGGAAAATGAGAAGCTTCACAGCTACAAGTTACAACATCTTTTCTTCAAAGAAGCTGCAAGTAAACGCGACACGCTTTATCATTACCCTTTTCATTTTCAGACTACACAGCTATTCGCCTTCCACGTCTAGAGAGGAGAGAGTCTCGGCTACACGAAACGTGAAGTGCGGAGTCTCCGGAAAAAGAGGTGATACAGAAACGTAACGAACTGTTCATTTTATTAGAAATTTCAGGTAAGTTACAATTTTAGAACAAGGATCTGTCGGTCACATCCACTATCCCCGGCTGTGCCAGACCTGCCGGCTGATGCTGGGCAAGTCCCGGCACATCCCAGCCTCAGTTTCCCTTATCTGTTAATACAAAAAATTGGTATTTCCATCCCGCTCCGACAAAGCTTAATTAACACGTGCAAAAGGCTCCGAAGCTCCAAAGGAAAAGGACCACAGAGGGCAAAGCATTCGGAAAGATTTTCCTGCAACGTGGGGCAGAACAAGCGCCCGAAGGAGCCTGACACGGGTGGCTGGTTTATCAGTGTTATGATTTCTCCTCCGGAACAAACACATTGCGGCTGCAAACCGAGCAACTGCCGTGCATGCAGAGTACTAGATTTTGGGGGGATGCCCCCGGATATGCCATCAGAGACCCCAGTTTGGTATCGATGTGCAGCGCTTTATTGGGAAGACTCACCGTCCAGGAGCACACAGGCAGAGCACCCCAAACCGGCACAGAGGCACACGCCACGCACGGGACCTCGAGCGGGGCACGCACTCGCGGGCCGGGATTGCTCCAGGACCACCAAACCAGCATCGCCCGGGAATTTCGCATGGGCCGCCGGGACCCGCCCCGCACCGC